CATCTCCCCATTAGAACAAACTTGCTTATGTTTTAATCCTAGATCAACGTTTTCCAATTATGGTAACTTTGGGCAAATTCTCAAATTTTCTATAGAGGTTATAAAATGATGCCAGACAGGATAGTTCCCTTATATTGCTGTTGTAAGGCCTAAGTTAACACATGTAAAGCCTAAGCAAACTGGAGACATAATAAGCATTCAATAAAATTCCCAAGAAAACTCTAGAGATGCTGGATTCTGCCCTTATCCTTCTGTTCTTGCCATGATTTTAATATTTCTCTGTGTGCTTTGCTGGGGTCCAGGTACCCTAGTCTCACTTCTAGCAAAGATTTCTGAAAAAGAATTGTTTACTTGTTTCTCTCCTATCAAATCCTAGGTTCCTTAAAGCCACAGACTGAAATACATTATTTCTTCTTCTCAGTGGTCTGAGCAATACTTGGCACATTATAGATACTTAGCAAATATATGTTAAATTAAAATGCATAAATATCATTTCCCCCAGAAGAGAATCTGAAACAGAACGGTTGCTGAAGAACTATTTTGAATGAATGGATAAATTTATGAACCACATCCTGTTGTAGCAGAAATGTGCTTCAAGCTGATTTGGGGAGTATGAGACAATCAGACTGTGTAATTTTATAATATAGTCTAAATACTGTTTTTTTTTTTAATTTTACTTTTCTTTCTTTTTTTTTTTTTGCATGCTTTGTCAGTAATTAAATTCCCAATTATATAATATGATATTTGTCCCATGTATGTTCAACATGTGATGATATTTTAATCACCACTGTAGAAAGATGTACATAGATAACCAGTGATTTTTTTTTTTTTTTTTTTTTTTTTTAAGAGACAGTTTCTTTTTTTGTTGCCCAGGCTGGAGTGCAGTGGTGTGATCTTGGCTCACTGCAATCTTTGCATCCTGGATTCAGGCGATTCTGCTGGCTCAGCCTCCGAATTAGCTAGGATTATAGGTGCATGCAACCATGCCTGGTTAATTTCTGTATTTTTAGTGGAGATGGGGTTTCATTGTATTTTCCAGCTGGTCTTGAATTTCTGACCTCAAGTGATCTACCCCCTCTCAGTCTCCCAAAGTGCTAAGATTACAGGCATGAGCCACCATGCCTGGACAACTAGTGATTTTTTGATAGTCACAGTAACTGATTATTCTCACCCAAAAGATTCCAAACCTTGTTTCTATGCCATTATTAATGTAAACTATTTAATTCCAGCAACCATTTAATTTTGAATTGCCAAAAAATGGAAACAATCAGCCGAGCTTTGACACTGTGAAAACACTGAGGGCAATATTTCTTTAGTGGATAATGTTTCCAAAAATAAATGTGGCCCAATGTTTGCAGACAAAGGTTAGACAAAAATAAATGTGTTACTCAGAAGCGTTACAAAGTGGATGCAATTCAGTTTGAATTGACTATTTTCCTTAGACACCTCTATTGTCTATTAGTAACAAGAAGAGGAAAACTTGGTGAATTGTTTCAGAAAATGTGTTTATTAGTTGTTCTCAGCTTAAATGTATCTCACAGCATCAGATGTGTTAGTAGAAAAAGAGCTGAGGAACTAAACGAAAGCACTCCCTGAATGCAAAGATAGATTTACAGTTTCTGGATCAAATAAATGTTTGGAAAAAGGGTACATTTCTAGCCAACACTTTCTAGGAATTCTTTATCATATAACTTTAATGCATTGTAGGCACTTTAGAAGGTATTAAAATAAGTCAACTACGATCATTTTAACACTATGAGTTAACACAGATGCTATATGTTTTATACTAACCTCTTTTAATTTTTTTAACATTTAAAAAAATTCATTTACTTGTTTATGTATTTATTTGTTCTGGGCCCTCTATTTCTTTTTTTAATTTAAATTTTATTTTTACTGACAAATAATTGTATATATTTATGGAGTAAAACATGATGTTTTGGTACATGTATACACTGCGGAATGATCAAGCTAATTAACATAACCATTACCTCACATACTTGTCACTTCTTTGTGGTAAGAACATTTACAATCCACTTTTTGACAATTTTGAACTATATAATTGACAAATAAAAGTTGCATGTATTTTCAGTATACTACATATCCACCAAGTAAATATTGTCTCATTTTAGAGATCAGAAAATGGAGGCCAAAAAAAGCTGCCCGGATGACTTTTGATACTCAAACACTCCAGGGCATTATATTCAAACATTTTCTGCAAAAGAAATTTTGCTTATAAAGCACATAATGAATGCACTTAACTGAGTCTTGTCCATCAAAGGAGAAAGAAGAAATTAAAGTTTAATGAATCAATTGTGTCTTCAGCACTGCGATCTTTGTTTGTATATTGAGGATCTAATGTAATTCTTTCTCTATTGTGGTGAAATAGACACAGTTCTCTTGACTTTATACGTGATGAGACAGCTTCATAAAAGTTAAATTAGTTGCAATATTATATTCAGGCTCTTTCCAGAAATGAGTGGGTCAGATTGAAACCAAGAGACCTTTAGGATCAATTAAAATGTTGGGCTTTTTGGATGATGACACAGCTTGTGTTTTTGAAGACCTGTAGAATATCTATATTTGAGCTTTAAAATATACATTGTAGAATATGTGATGTATTTATTGTGGTATGTTGATTTCGAACTCTTTGATTACATATAAATTTATAAGTAAAATATTTATATATATTCCTTCAATAAATAATACATTTATATGATAAATTTTTGATCATAAAACAAGCTTTACCCATGTGTTTTAGAATTTGAATAAAAGTTCATTTTAATAACTGTTATTTAATCTAGTATTAGGCTATTAGCCATTTGAAATTTAAAATTCACCATAGCCAAAGACTATGGCTCCAGTGAAAATAAAGATATGGAGATAATGAAAATCTTGATAAAAACCTTATGAGAGGCACTTTCCATTTTTGTGTCTCTCATGAGCCCCAAAATAACTGAATATTTAGTTAGAATACTTAACAGTAAGATTAAAGAAAAGAAATTAACAAGAAGAAAATAAAATCTATGGTCATGAGAGCATAGAACCCACTGGAAAATTTGGTAATGCCCTTAAATTAAGATTGAAAATCCCATAGTTAAATCAGGATTCATTTTAGAGTTATGTCATTCAAAAGAAAAGAGACGTCTAGAGGCTGGAATATTTAGACAAATTCAATTTCTATGATTATTATTACTATTTGTTGAATATACTACATCATAGAATAGACACAGTTACCTTTTTCACTTCCTGAATGGATACTAAGGGTAGCATCTATCATGGCTATCCTCGTTTTTCAAAAGATGTTTCTTAAATTGAACAGATGTTTGCTTGCCTGATATTACACCCAAAGTTCAAACCTAGCCAGGATATTTACTTTTAAAGTCATGCCTTCTTCCTCTAAAAGCTTAAAGACACATTTATTAGGCAAATACTCAGAATAGAAGTTAAATTATGATAAGTACGCAGACATATGAGCTCTGTGAGAATCACTAGGGCTTGACGTCTCTAAAATCATGGAAAAAAACCCACTATTCTACTCCATGTGCTTTAAGTCTCAGGATGATAAGAAAAATATGTTTTCAATCTTTCCCAAAATCTATTCAGCTCAATATAGGATAGATATGTCTCGTATTAATACTTAATTTTTAAATACTCATGAGCTCTATTAAAATTCTCTGGCAAAATACTACCATGCTTTCCTTCCAGTGGACTCTAATTCAAGATTTTGGCAGGGTCTGACTGATTAGCAGGTTTTTCCTTTCCCAATCACATTACTGAGCACACCCAAATGGAGCTCTGGGAACTCACTGTTTAAAAATTATTGCTTTACAAAGTATATTAAAGGCTTGTTTAGACTATCTAAAGAAGATATAACTTGAAGTAATGGAGTGTAATAGAGAAATGTGAAATGTCTTTAAAACAAGATCACTTAATATGGAATTATCTTCCCTATACATGAAAGTATGAACAATTTGTCACATAGCTCAAATCCACTTTTAAATTAAAGGAGCCACCACATGTGTACATTGCATATGCTCACTGAACCACTTCATGAATGGTCACATAAGCCACAGCTTAATAACAGCAACTTTCAGACATAAGTGGTATTCTTTTACACTCATCTATGTACAATTCCACCTTCACTCAGGGAAAGGCTGATTAGAGAAATACAGAAAATGATTTTAAGTTCCAAACTTTGAAGAGCTGTACTGAAGCTCACTAGAGGTTCTGCTTGAAGGGAACAGGTGCAAGCAGAGGCACTTATTCAATAATTGTTGGGTGGATGGATGGACAGGCAGATATATGCCTTCTAAAGAAATATAGGCTTGTAGATATTCCCAAAGGTTAAATGGCTCCAGACATTCTAGTGATATCAAACATTTGTATTTCCACTGTCACTAAGACACCCCAGAATTAATGTACCTAAATACCCTGGTTAAATCTATCCTGCACAGGACTAAGCACAAGTGATTTTAATGAATATTTTTAAAAACAACAATCCTGTCTCACTCATAATACTTGTCGCAAACAGTCTGTGTCCTTTTCTATGCAACTCACAATTCCCTATTCCATTTCCTCAAAAATGAAATAATAAATATTAGTTTAAAAACGTAAATCCTCCTGAAACTCTCCCAGCGCTATGAACTAATCTTTAACATTGGCGAATCTCTGTCTTACATGGTTAAGTGTCTAATACCATAGTGCCAATTATTTATTCACGACAGTATCATGGATTCTATCTAAGTTAAAAAGACAAAGAAAGAATAAATTAGAAAGCTCTTTTAGAAAGACATTGTGGATTCACAAATGTAAGCTTATAAATACATTCTCCAGTTAGAAACATGAGAAAATAATCAACAGAACTTCATAAATGATTCTAACCATAAAGTTTCTGCTGTTTTTTTTTAATACTGTAATCAATGCCCTGTGGAAACTATATTATTTACTTGCTCTTAGAAAATAAAATATTAACAATACCCAAGTGAGGAAGACATTCTTACCACCTTCTTGAGTGCAAAGGTTGAAAAGGTTATGGACTGTGTCCATCAGCTCCAGTTGCTGCCTCTGAAGGATAGTGTTGTTGGTGGTAGCTCTGCTTAACTGCTTTTCCAGCTCGTAGATTATATATGTTTGACGAGTAACCAAGCTTTGAAGGTTCTCTTTCTCTTCCTTTAAGGTGTCCAACTCTTTCTTGTGTTTTCCTTCCATTTCTAAGATTTTATGTTCTAATAAACTACAAGGAAGTGAAAACAAAACTTAGATTTGAAAATGTTATACAAAAAAAAAAAAAAAAACCCTTGTAATTCAATTGGTTCCAGAATTTATTTAAGATGAGAAATTTTAATCAGGTATTTCACTGTAAAAATATTTTTAAGTGAGAGACTTAAGAATATACATTTTTAGGAGTTATACGTATAACATGTCAAATGGAAAATTATTAAACCAGATATTATCAGAGTAATGTTTGCTTTTAACTATAATTTAGTTTCTTAGTTTCCTTGGGTGTATCTTGTACCCAAGGCAGCTGACTTACACCCAAATAGCTATACTATGAAGAAGTTATAGTATAACATTCACTAAGGAAATGGACCTAACAGAAAACAGAATAGTTCAGGAAAAAAAATAAACAACATGTAGAGACTATTTTTTATTCACTTTGCTTCATTCATTTGGAGTTCTCAAAACATTAACATTGATTAAGTTTCACAATATTTCTGTGGGATCAAGAATAGTATATTGACCATCTGCAAAATCAGGAATAAAGAGAAAATATGAAATAATCAGAAACACAAAGATTTATGCACAATGATGTTAAAACAGCAAAAAAAAAAAACCTTTATGTTGAAACTGTTGAAAATATTTTAAATAATTTTAAGTATTTTAGAAAATCCTCAAAATATGTTAGGTTAAAAAAAGAAAAAAACAGCAATATACATTCTCAACCACACATACTTACAAAACCAATACTACATTGACACAGTAACAGGAGCAGAAAATAATCTATCTAAAGTCACAATGTATTCTTGTGATTTTTGATGCCTGGTCCTGTATCATAACCACTAGCTTCCTCTATTTCTCAACTCAAACTTCAGGATGAGGCTTAATGACACAACAAGTTCCCAAATCACTGTATAAATGGTAAGAAAAGGAAGACTCTAGTAGGCTGATGGTATGGTTTTAAAAAAGGAGTTGGGATGCTTTGCTCACAGTGCTGCAATCTTTAGCTGAGACCCTTCCCACTCCCTGAGCTCTTTACAGAATATTCCCCTTGGATATTGCACATTAAAAATGATAGAGAATGCAGAAGCACTCTTGGAGCCTAGCAACTGACTGGAAATAAAAAGCATTTACATTTTATGGAGTGTCTAATATACTAGTATTCCTCAGGGGAAAGGCTTACTCAGTTTTCTCAGTTCAGTTTTCAGAAGGTTCAACCCGTCCTTAGTTTACAAGGTGTTATTAAAATGCCACATACCAGAATGGGCACTTAATTTACCTTGGAGAAATAAAGCACTGAATCATTCCTTTCACAAAGGGGACACTAGGGAGTGTTTTAGATTCAATACCTAAATTATAAAATAGAGTATGTTTGAAGAGCCAAATCTTCCAACACCAGGTACTGGAAGACAAACTGTAACATCTGATTGTCTTTACACAGATTAAGAAGTGTGGCCCAGGCTTAAAAGGCAGAAAAGACTGTGGGGGAATGGAGAGAAGTCCATGTGGCAGAAGCAGTGCCCTCCTGGTAGATGCCAGAAAGCTTGTGGATGGGGTGGATATGGCAGAACATGGTAGATGGTGACGATAATATCAATAACAATACTCATGATACCTCTCATTTATTACACAGTTGCCATGTCTCACGTGCTGTTTTAAGTGGCTATGAGTTCAATTATGCCCCTCCCATGCTTGCCCCCAACACACAAAAATTATGTGTTGAAGTCCCAACCTCCAGGGCTTCAAGAATGTGGCCTTATTTAGACACAGTCGTTGCAGATGTAATTAGTTAAGATGAGATCATGCTGGAGGAGTGTGAGCTTTTAATCAATATGATTGGCGTCCTTATAAAAAAGGGAAAACGTGGAGAGACAGATCAGATGTGTGCACAGGGAGAAGGCTGTGTATAGACTGGAGCAATGTTGCTGCAAGCCAAGAAACTACTGGCAGGTAGGAGAAGGATCTGAAACACAGTCTCCCCTAGTGCCTTCGCAGGGAGCCTGGCGCTGCAGCCACCTTGATCCTTGATCTGGGACTTTAAGCCTCCAGAATATTAAGAGAATAAATTTCCATTGTTTAAAAGAAGAGGAAGAAGGAAACGAAGTGTGGCCAGAACTGCTCCTGGGCATTCCAGATCTTTGCCAACAAACCTCCAAGAATATGGCAGGAAAGTTGCCCGTGAAATCAGCCTGAAAAGTACCTGGAGGCTTCTAAGACTCTACTAATTTATAATACCTTTAGTAGTGTGCACAGATTCACATAGGAAAGGTTCTCATTGACAGTGATTAGCAGAAACTGTGTGACTTGTGCAAGAGAAGAAAAGTCCCGTTTCTGTTTTGAATTGCTTTCATTCTACTGACAGCAAGAGAGAAAGAAGTCCCACCCTGTACTGATCATAAAGTAAACCCAATTTACACAGAGCTTGAGTATAGTAATATAGGGAAACTGTGATGATCACTTATTTTTTTTTATTCTTTTGGAAATGAAAAACGTAGGCAAGGAAAGCAGAGAAAGAAGAAAAACAGTATCTGTAAGGGTAGGTATGATTGATCTTTTACCATTTTTTTCTTCGCCACAAGCTTCTTGTTGGAGAAGTTTGTGGTAAAACAAAAACAAAAACAAAAATCTCTATTGTCCTTACTGGTTAAAAGTTTCACTCCACCTACTGATTAGGTAAGTGATTAGTGTACTTGCTGCAGATGTCAAAGGAGGTCTTCTCTGTGCCCATTAATTTTTGGCCTTCAGATCTGAGAATTAACAACAACCAGGGTCTTAGCTTATTCTCAGTTTACTTTTTATTTCTTTGGTTGGAACTCCTGGGTAATGATCAGAGGCAAGATGCCCATAATTTAGAGTTGTTAACTTATAAGAAAATTGTCATTTAAATTCATAGGAGTTATAGTCTACTAGCGAGAAAACTTAGCATTACCTATTATACTGACAATCATGTATATATCAAAATTTGAAAGTTATAGTCCTATAATACTTGATAAAAATTTTGAATTACCATTTTGTCCTTCAAATAAGGTGAGCACTGGCCTTGCAGTTTTCCTAATCAGTAGGTAACATTCTGGTTTGGAAAATATCATGTTATAATTTGTATTTATTAGTTAAGTGCCAATAATTCTGTAAAATATAAAATGACACTATTCCTACTCTAAGCGTTTATTTTTAGAGAATAAAAACCTCAAATGAAAATGCAGAAGCTATAAGAAACTTCTGTTTCAGACATAATACTTTTTAAAATTTTTGCATCAGTATTTTTTTACTTTTTATTTTTGATGTATTCCTTATTCAAGAGGACATAGGCACATAAATGGCAACTATCTGATATGTCTGTAAAGAAGGTGGTCTTGTTTGTTTTGTTTTTCAGGATAATTTGGAAAGAGCTGAGGATGAAAAGTTGATCAAAGAAGTCCGGGTACCAAAGGAAACAATTCTAGATGCTGGCTTGTGGAAAAGATCTGCATTTTCAGAGTAAAAGGAATATATAATATGTACAATATATAATATAACATACATTAGCATGTTGGACAGAACATTAATTTTCGTAATTCATCAAACAAACTTTAATGTTCCCTTACTAACAGGTATCGAAAGATACAAATATAGCTTGTCATCTTAGAGTTAATTCTCATGTAAAATGTAAAAGAGACTGTCCATGGAACTAAGAAGCCTACTTTACCTCACAGACATTCCACAGGATTTGGAAACCCAAGTAATATGCACAGAAACTACAAGCAAATTGGAAACGTGTTACATTGTTTCTCGAATGGCAGGTCTTACCACTTAATTATCTCTTCTTGTCACTTTCTCATCACATTTCTTCACTCAGAGTGCCCTTAATAACATTTGTACTTCAGTAATTATCTACTAACTTTATTTATTAGGGACATTTTTTATATTAATGACAACTGTTTAGACTTTTTCAGGCAAGACAGCTCTCTTCTTGACCTTTCCATTTCTTTTGACTACACTCATCCCTTTTTTTCATCTTCTTTTCATATTTGGCTTCCAAAGATTGCTCTCTTTTCTTTGATTCCTCCCATATATTGGCTAGTATCTACTTTGGAAGTCAGCCCTTCCTTGTCATTATTTCCCAAATGGCTTTAATGTAAACCTCACTTGCCAGAAAACTCTATATACCATTACTACTTACCATATTCTTGTAACACACCATTATAGTTATGTAGCATTTTAAAACTTGTATCTCTTTTGATTCTTAAAGCAATATAGTTAATATAGCCTGAGTAAATGTTACAGACCCTTATGGATAGGTAAGAATCAAAATGTTTTCTTCAAAATCATGCAGATATTAAGTGTCAGAACCAGGATAAAAAGCTATGTCTTCTAAATTGCTAGACTGGAAATCTACTCAAGACATACCACTGCTGTGTCAATGAATATCCTATAATCTCACCTCTTGGACTTAATCACTACTTATTTCTTCCACTCATCATGTTACACCAAGAACGAAGACACTACCTTTACATCTCCTTAGTATTTATTTGTTGCTCTCCATTTAGTTATTCTGGGAGCTTATCTTTCACAATATTTGAACTTGTTTATCTTTCTCATGTATAAAAACAGAATTACTTGGTCAAGACAATTTTTAACATCTGGACTAGAATTTTCTTCAATAGTACCCTGCCTTAATACCACTTCCATTATATTTATTTTTAAATTTTAATTACATTTTTAATATACTGCTCATATTTCATTTTGTCCCTGAAGCCCTTCATTGATTCTTTACCATTTTCCCTATCCAGGTCTGTTGGGAGGGCCACCTCAGCTAGCATGGAGATCTTTATATAGAGATGTTGATTTGAGAAGAACATTGCAGCCCCAGTGTCCTAAAGTTAGGTAGTCGAAGTAATCAGATTTTCCCCGATGACAGCCTCAGCAACACGTTTAGCTTAGGTTTGCATTTTCAGCACAAAGCCTGGATGGTGACTAAACACCAGTGCACCATTTCCTAGAGCGTATTCAGTATATTCCTTCAAGCAAAATAAGAGT